GGATAAAGTGTATGAGAATGTGATGGGGAAGGGGTGAGTGTATAGGTTAGAAGTACTGCAGGACTGGGAAATTGAAGAATATGTAATTACTCAATGTATTGGCATAAATTAACATGGATAATCAAAAAAATAGGAGGATATGGAAGTTGGATAAGAAGAATGAATTTTCGGTGAAGTTCTATTACAATTTTATAACCAGAGAGGACAATGGGAATAATATGACAGCCCCATTTAAACAAATCTGGAAAGTTGTAGCCCCTCCTAGGATGACTTTTTTTGTTTGGGAAGTCTCAAGAGGAAGTATTTTGACTATTGACATGTTAAAGAGGTGGGGCAACATCATTGTTAATCGATGTTTCTTATGCAAGGCTGATGAGAAGACCTGTGACCACATCTTATTTTTTTGCTTAGTTACTCATAGCTTATGGATGTCGGTCTTCGAATTGATGGGAATGAGATGGATTATGGCGGGTAATGTAAGTAAGGAATTATGGGCTTGGGCAGGTATTTGTGAAAAAAAAAAAACATTTATTTTTTATTTCACTTACCATTTTTTGGGTTGTGTGGAAGGAAAGTAATGCTAGAGTTTTTGAGGGAAAAGAAACAGATTTTGTAAACATCAAGAATAGATGGTTTCATACTTTTGTATTCACCTTACTGGGTCATGACATATTAGATTGGGATGACTTGGGGTGCGTCATTGACTACCTAATTGATATGTAACTATTATGTAACTGGATGGTACTCCCTTAGTACCTTTTGTGAATAATAACATTTTCATCTTTTATTTTTATTTTTTCAAAGCTTGGTCAATCTTCATTATTTTTTATATATGCAACTGACTTATTTTTTTACAATATATTGGCCACTTATTTATTGGTAAGTGCATTGTTCCATAGATTCTTTGATCCATGTGATTGTTGTTATCAAAATAATTTGTAAATGTGTACTTTGATTTTGTGATCACCCATTGACTCATGCCCGCCAGTTTGACCTGTGGAGAATTTGCTCTTATTCCTTGCTTGACTTTTACAGAATAAGTCAAATGACCATAAAGGAATTTTAGGATAGGGTATGATTGAGTTTGGTGCTTTATGGTTCTCTAATATATGAAATTAGTAGAATGCTAGTTCTTAATCTTCTGTACAAGATATTTTGAAACTTCCATTTGTTTTTTCATTCTTATAATCGATGCAGTTGTTAGAGAGTGCAGGATTTGTAATGGTTCACTTGTTGATTTCCTTCTTGGGGAAATCTCTATCAATTTCATTTTTCTCTTATTCTCTTCTTTCTGCTCTCCTTTTGTCTTTTCAAGTTTTAAATAGGAACATCTTTGTCATTCCATGTCAGAAGTGCTTATTATTGAATCTACTAATAGACTTGGAACTCAATCATGCTAGAAACATCCTCATTTTTCT